AGGCCTCTACCTGAATGTCAGGCAGCTGCCTGTGCTGTCTTGGCTATTTTCCCATACTGTCTTTTGGGATTTGCTGTCTTCTCTGAAAGGAACAGCTCACCAAGAGGCTCTCCCCAGGGCCACCAGTACAGGAAGCTCAAGGCTGAAGGCTAAAGATGCCTGCTGAGGAGTCTAGGTGATCTCTTTTCAGTGCAGGCAGCAGACCCCACTTGAACTTGCTCATGTGTAGGGCAGGTGGGTACCGTGGGGACCAGTGAAGAGCCCTTGGGAGCCCCAACTGGGTCTCCAGGATTACTAACGTCAGAATCCTGGAGCCTAAGGACCAGGACCACACAAAGGATGGCATCTGCCCCAGACTCTCTTTCCCTCACTGCCCTCTCCTTCCTCTTCTGGCTCCATCCTTGGCTTCTGGGTCATTGCTGCTTCATCCTGGTTTCTGTTTGCTCACTGTCTCTGGAGGCTGACTTCAATTCAGGTCTTTCTCATATCCTCATGCCCAGTTCTCCTGCTTTGGCCTTGACTTTTCATCCCTTTTCCCCAGTCCCACATTCCAGAAAGAAGGTAAATGTGGAGGGTGGGAATCTGATTGATCTGATCAGTGATCTTGAGTCAGGCTATTGATGTCACAGTTCTGATCAGTCTGCAGGTACTTCAGACCCACCTTTGATCCAATTGGCTGTAAGTACAGGACCTTCTCAAAGTCATTGGATAAGAAGGAATGTCAGCTTCTGTGCTGGGGACAGAGCTCAGTGGGTGGACTGCTTGCTGAGCACACAAATCATCAGCTTGGATTCCTAGTACCACATAAACCAAGCATGGTGTCACATACTTGTAACCCCAGCACCTGGGAGATGGAGACAAGAGAATGAGAAGTTCAAGTTTATTCTCAACTACACAGCAAGTTCAAGACCAGCCTAGGCTACATGAAACCTTGTTGGAAAAAAAGTTTCTCTCTCAGCAAAGTATGATAACAAAATATTCCTCATAAGTGGCCCTAACTGTGACCAACTCTTGGTAGGACAGATTGCAGAGACCGAGTGTTCACTTAGACTGCTATGTTTATTAACTGGCTTTGTTTTTTGAGATGTAATTTATGTACTATAAAATTACCCTTTGGGGGGGTGTTATACTCTACAAGATTTTGCAACTACTGACACTAATTCCAGATTATCTCATCATCACTAAAAATAAAACTCCATGTTCATGAGCATCCACTTCCCACTTCTCCTCCATCCAGCCCCGAGCAGTCACTGATCTGTTTTCTATTTCTGTGATTTGTCTATTTCAGGCATGTCATGTCATTCAAATCACACAATCTACAGCCTTTTGTGTTGATGGTCTTCATTTAGCATAGTGTTTGGGAGGCTTATTTATGGCACAGCATGGCTCAGCATCCTCAATTTCACTGCATAAAATTCTATTAATGGGTCTATTGTATTTCTTTTCCTACAGCCTCTTGTCTTTCCATGGGCACTTGTGTTGTTTACACCTCCTGGTTTCGAGTTATATTGATACAAATATCTTATCCATCCTATGGCACACATACCTTGCAATGAGACTTGCTGAATCATATGGTAATCCTATGTTTAATTTCCAGAGGAGCTGCCACACTGCTTCGCAGAGTGGCTGAACCACTTCACAGTCCCACCAAGAATGCAGGAGGAGCCTACATTTTCTCTACCCTCACTAGCGCTTGTCACTGGTCTGTCAGGGTACAGCTGTCTTAGTAAGTGTGAAGTGGCATTTCATTGCTTTCACTTGCATTGCCCTAAAGTTTTAAGCACTATTTCCTGTGTTCATTGATCACTTGATGTTTTTGAGAAATGGCTGTTCAAATCTTTGCCATTCGTTTGTCTTCTATTAGTGTTTGACTTGGGTATAGCCACTCAATATTTCTGGGACTAGATTTTCTTATCTTATTAGTAATGACTTTGGGTGATCTGGAGACAGCCTGTGGGGCATTGCATGTCAGAGTCGAAAACAGTGCCTGAATCATGAAAGAAGCAACAATGATATTATCCTTGTGTCCTTATGGAGACCAGTTTATTCTCTTGATGACACTCTTTCTCATACCAAGATATATATTTTGGGGGTGGGGGTTAACTTAAGAATATATTTTAAGAGGCCTAAATGTGGCCGGAGAATAAGTTTACCCATCCTGCAAGTTGCAATTGATGGCTAGTGTCCTTTTGGCTTACTAGGGATTCTGGTAAAGACTAGAAATGAGGATAATAGAATAATTTGGGCAGTGACTTAATATATTGTGACAAAATATCTGAGGACTTCAACTTAAAGGAGGACAGATTTATTTTGAATCATAATATCAAAGGTTTCAGTTCAGGTCACTTCACTCCATGGTTTTTGGGTCCTGAGTGCGCATAAACATGGTTTTGGTAGAGCTACTTAGGGCAGACAGGCGAAAGGGTAGGGAGGAGGAAAGATAGATTGGTAGGAAGAGGGGAGAGAGAGGGAGAAGGAGGGAGGAAAAAAAGGGAATGGGAGGTAGGAAGGGGGAGGGGAGAGAGAGAGAGAGAGAGAGAGAGAGAGAGAGAGAGAGAGAATAGGAACATTAACATGAACCAGAGATAAGACAGTTTTCTTAGGGTACACTCCCCAGTGACCTACTTCCTCCAACTCAGCCCTATCTCTTAGCTTCTATCACCTCCTAAACCTACCAGATTATGAGTCCATCAACAAGCAGATTAACCCAAAGATTAGGTCACAGCCATCATGATGCAGTCATTTCCCAGAAGCCTCACCTCTGAATAGTGCTTCCCTAGGGAATAAGAGTGTGCCAGTCCTTAGGGACGTATAGATGTGAATCATAACAGGAGGCACGCTAGCTAAAGGGGTGGAGGACACTGGCAGAGGATTGATAAATGTGATTTTTTATGAGGCTTTACTTGTGGTTTGTAATCTAAAATGTCTTCCCTCCAAAGAGCTGGTAAAGTTTACATCTTACTAAGTATTGTAGGAATGGATTTTTTTGAGCACTTTTTAAAGTACTTCTGGCTTAAAAGGGTATAGAATGAGTCTCATTACTGCCAAACTGTGTTTCAATCTCTTTAAGATTTGAGACCACAAAGGTCAAGGATAAAGCTCTTTCCTGGTCACTCTCAGGGATATGTAAGAAGCCATGCTGGCTCAACCTCCTTCAGGATTGACTGTGTGCATCCTGCTATCTGTTGACTATAGGAGTTTGACCTTCACATGACTGATGGGTATAGAGACTGTACCTCTGCTGTGCCTGTGTGTATCAATTCGATGCCATAGCTGGCACAGCTCCTTGGTGAGTACACTAATAATATGTTTGGGACCTTAGATTTCCAGCTCACAAAGTTCACACTTTGAAGACTTTGTATACAGCTGATGACATTAAGAGACCGTTGAACTTTGAGGAAGTAAGACCTGTTTGGAAGAAGTGGATCACAGTGGGCACGTTTTATGTTTTAGGACCATCTTCTTCTAATCTCTCATTGGTTTATGGATGTTATGAGATGAGCAGTTTTGTTCCTCTATGTGTTCCCACCATGATGCTCTTCCTTACCACATGCCCAAAGTGATTAGTCAACCATGGACTGAAACCTTTGAAAATATGAAGTTATTCCTCCTTTTAAGTTATTTATCATAGACATTCTGTCACAATAATAAAAAGTAACACAGCTCTGGGGCTATAGACGTTTCTTAGTCCATTTAGAATTCAGAAGGAATCTCCATTGTATGGGCAGAATGTTTGTGCCCTCTGTTTCATGAGGATATCCACAGAATTAGAAAGTGAAGCTTTACGGAGATAAGTAACAGGGTAAAGACTTCATGGAAGGATCAGTGTCCTTGTGAGAGCAACCCAGAGGTCTCTTTCACAATCTCTTTACCATGTTAAAATTCAGGGAGAAGCCTTCAGTGTGCAGGCCAGAAGGATGCCCTCACTAGAACCCAACCATGCTGGTGTCCTGAGCTGGGGCTTCTAGGCTCCAGGTTTATAAGCAATACCTTCCTGTTGTATCTAAGCTGCCCAGTCCACATTATGTCACTATAGCAGCTAACTTAGACACTATCCCCACTTCCTGAAGTTAAGTTGATTAGGGAAGGTGAGCCTTTGTTTGGGAGTGGGAGTGGAAGACAGTTTTATGCCCCCATTTAGAGATTCCTGTTTATCGTGGCCATTAGTGGTGATTGGCTTACTTAGAAGACAAACTTTCGTCTTTCAAACATTAGAGGACAGTTTGTTTAGTCTAGTCAACAGACACCCATCTATAACACACACACCAAGCCAGGCATGTTCTGAGAGAAGACTCCATCTAGTAGGAGAAACAACATGCAGGGTAGCTAGCAGAATAAAACAGATGTGTGACTCCAGTTGGCAGGACCCTGCTCTAGGTGAGCTACTCATTTTGATGGAGGCACCAGGGAAATTTCTGTGAAGGGAAGAGGAGGTCAGGTTCCTGGATAAAGGCTCACAGGAGATACAGAGGGCCGGATGGTTGTAGACCAGGCAGGACACTGGATGGGCAGAAGAGGAGGATGAGGCCTTTGATGTTGTTCAAGGTAGCAGACTATGTTTTTGAGGCAAAGGGGAGCCTAAGTGGAATTTCATCAGGACTATGGCATGTTCTGTCTCTTTTTAAGAAAAGAAGAGAGAAGGATGGAAAAAGAATTAGAAGGTTGAAAGGATGGGAAGGACTGAGTAGAGGTGACTGGACTATTCTGAAGAAGATGAAAAATCCCAGAGGGTGGGGGGGGAGTGCATGGAGTTGGACAGGCCACAAAGGAAAGCCTTCTTTCCTTTTGATATTTCCTCTTCCAGGTCTGGAGCTCAAAGATGTCCTCAGGCAGTCAGCCCCATCTGCCGGATCTGCTGTCTTCCAGGAGACCCCTCCCTCTTCTTGGACACACAGGAAGAGAGAATAATTGGAAAGATTGCCAATCTCTGCAGGAGCTGGTCAGATCAGTGGAGGGGGTGGGGCGGGGGGTGAGGGGTGTCAAGGCACGAGTTTCACAGAAGTAGATATCAACTGGCCTAGGCCGTTAGCAGTTTGTTCATGAACTGTCCTCCTGGCTCGTGTGTTTGAACAGCTGTATAGCTGGTAGTGTTATTTTAAGAACTTGTGAACCTCTCTGGTGCAGCTGGCTCACTGAAGACAGGCGCCTGAGGGTTCTAGCTTGGCCTCTCTGTTTGCTTCCCCATCCAGTCTCCATGTGAGGAGCCTCATAGTCTCATCACCAGCACTAAGTAGCTCCTCAGGCTGCTGTGCCTTCCTTACATGATGAACTGAAACTCCCAAAACCATAAGCCAGTGAAAAGCTTCTTCTCCCTTAAGCTGCTTCCGTCAAATATCCCTCACGGTGAGTAAGCCTTAATCTCTATCTTTATGTCTTTATTATCTTCTGTGACTCTCAATCACCATTAAGACACATTTCAAACATTTGTTCTGCAGGTTAGGGACATGGTGGTCTTGCACGTCCTTAGTTGGAACTGGTGGGAAGAGTAGGGAGTGAGTAAAAGCCTCCCCCTCCTCCCCCTTATCTTGGAAGAGAACCTGTTCTGGAAGCTTGAGGGGTTGTTAAGGACTGTGGTTCTCGTAGGCTTGCCCTCAGAAGTCTGGTGTGGAGTTGGTTGACACTGCACTTTCAACTCATGATTCTGACATTCTCTAAAGCTGAACACGGCTGGTTCAAGAATATTTGTTCTGGAAAAGAGGGAGCTATGTTCTCTGACCCCTGAGCTTTACTCAGGGACTAAGCAACTAAATGCACTAGGTTTTAATGACCTTAAGCAGAAGGCAGCATTAGGTCTCTCTTACCACAGAAAGGTGACAGATTGAGTATCTGGACGCCTTCCCAGTTGGTTCAGAACATTTTTTTTTTTACCTTTCTGTGAGTCATAATGAGCCTCTTTAGTCTGTGCACATATAAGAATCAACACAACATCACTAACCTGACTCTCCCCTGTCTGCACATACAAGACCTCCAACTTCTTTGCAAAATCATCCAGGCAATTCAGGATAGGCCCAAAAACCATCCTACTCTGGATGCTGATGAATAATGTATTGGTCTCCCTCTTTTCTGCCTTATTTATATTAGAAAATTAAATATGTGTAAAATATAAAATGATAACGTGACCTGATGTTCCCATTATCAATTCCTAACCAATCAGGTTTACTCCCATGCTGTTTATTTCTAAATAATATTTCATATAATTTTACTTTTGGTTTAATTGATAATTCTGTACGTTTATGAGACACAATATGATATTTTGATGTATTTATACCATGTATAATGATGAAATCAGGTTAGCTGAGAAACCCATCACCTCACATACATTTTTTCAAATACTAAAAAAAAATTATGTGTTTTCCCGCATGTATGTATTTGCTTCACATGCATTCCTGATGCCCACAGAGGTCAGAAAAGGGCATCAGATCCCCTGGTATAAAAGTTACAGATAGTTGTGAGCTTGCATGTGAATGCTGGGAACCCAACCAAGGTTCTCCGTGGAGCAACAAGTGCTCTGGACTGTAGAGCCATCTTTTTAGTCCCCACTAGCCGCTTCTTTCGTGGGAGAACACCAAACAGTTTAGCAATTTTGAAATGTGCAATGAATAATTATTTATCCTATAGAGAGATCCCTAAAGCTTATTCCTCCTGCCTGCCTGACATCTTACGTCCTTTTGTTAGTGTTTCTCCTTTCCATCTACCCTCTCCTCAGCTCCTGGCAACCATCATCTACTCTCTTCTGCTAAGAATTCAACTTCTTTAGAGTCAACATCTAGGTACATCATACAGTATTTGTCTTTCTATCCCTGGCTTATATCACTTAGCACAATCCCCTCCATGTTTATCTCTGATGTTTGAAATGAGGGTCTGTTTCTTTTGAAGGCTTAATGGCATTCTGCTGTGTGTATACACCTCATTTCCTTTATTCATTCACATTCATGGGCACCTAATTTGCATCTCTGTTTAGCTATGGTGAATAATATTCCAGTGGACAAGGAACTGCGGCTGCCCTTTCAGTTTGACTGAAACTCAGAGTAGAGCTAACAGAACACTTGGGGATCAGAGTCTTGGTTTTGAATTGTTTCCCATAAGGACTGTATAGACACAGCCTCATCAGTAGCTCACAAGTTCCATTGTAGGCACACCGTCACCAGCACCTCCTTTTTGTCCTTCTGATAATCATCCATCTCACAGGTGTGAGGTGATGTCATATTTTGAAGATCAGTGGTCATGAGCCTTTTTCATACATCTGCTGACCATTTGCAAGTCTTCTTTTAATAAATGTTTAATTAGGGAGCTGGAGAGGTGGATCAGCAGTTAGGAATGCTTGCTGTTCTTCCAGGTGATCTGAGTTCAGTTCTTGGAACCCTATGGGCAGCTCACAACTGATCCTCATTCACACCCAGCTTCCAACAGCTCTTCTGCTCTCCTTGGGCTCCCATAAATACTTGGTATATACATGTACGCGCGCGCGCACGCACACACACACACACACACACACACACACAAAATAGTCTAAGAAAGGAAATAATTAAGTCTTTGGCACATATTATTGTGAGGTAAATCTTTAATACCCTATTTTATTTTTAAATATTTTGGCATTCATCTGAGAAGAATACATATAAGGGCTGTGTTTGTAAGAAACACATCAATTAATAGTATTGACGTTCACAAATGTAATTAAACTGATTTTTGGATTTCTAGTACTTCCACAAATATGACACATTTAGAATCGTTTTATTTTAAAAATAAAAACAAATGCTTGCATGTTTTGCCGATATGTATGTGTGTGTACCATGTGTATGCAGTGCTTGCAGAGGCCAGAAGAGGGTGTTGGATCCCCTGAAACTGGAAGTTGTCAGTCACCATGTGGGTGCTGGGAAAGAACCCATGTCCTTTGCAAGAGCAGCAAATGCTCTTAACCCCTGAGCTATCTCTCCTATCCCTTGAAATGGTTGTTTTTAAAATTTGAACTGGGATTTCCCAAAAGCTGTAAATGTGATATGTTGATGTATCTCTTGAGTTAAAAAAAAGTTACTTTAGTCAACTACAGAGTCTTTACTAGACTTCTTCCTATATAGATTCCTTCATATATTTTTCCCTCAGGGAAGGAGCTAAGATTAATAGCATTAGAGAGTCATGGAATAATTTCTTTTTTCTTTTTAGTCTTACAGTTCACATTGATAAGTAACATCTGTGTACATAAGGTCACACTAGAGAGCAGCAGGGTGAGACCTGGTCTTGTTAACCCACCTGCTAACACGTAGACACTAAACTGCTTTTCTCTTGCTAGTATCTGCTCCCTATAAAACCCCACCATGAGTGCACAGTGAGCAGCTCAGGAAGCAACTAATGTAAATAACAGATTTGCATTAAACTCTCTCCCTATCAACTTTTTGCTGCCTGGCTAATAGCTTCTTCCCCTGGACTCCTTGTTTCTTGGCCTTGGTCCTCTTCAGAGACAGCATGGCCTTCAATGCAAACAGATTTAATAAAACAAAAATAAAAACAAAACAAAACCAAAAAACACCATGAGGTTATCAGACATACCTGTTTGGCTCAGTTTTCATAGATCAGAGTGGGACTTCAGTCTTTATTTTGTTTTTTCTTCCTCCCATTTTCTCTCCAGTTTCTTCTTCAAGGTCTGACCCATCTACTTCCCCCTTCTTGGTGAGTTTATTTATTGGTTTTAATCTCTCTCCCTCTCTCTCTGTCTCTGTCTCTCTCTCTGTGTTGGGGGGTGTATCCATATATGTGAGGTTGCACTCAAAGGACAGAGGTAAGTGTCAGATCCCAAGGGACTGGCGTTACAGGTAGTTGTGAACCTCCTGACAAAGATGCTGGGAATTGATCTTAGGTCTTCTAGAAAAGCAGTATGGGCTCTGTGGTGATTTGAATAGTAAATGCCCCCATAGACTCATGTGTTTGAATGCTTGGCCCATAGGGACTGGCACTATTAGGAGGTCTGGTCTTGTTAGGATAAGTGTGGCCTTATTGGAGGAAGTGTGTCACTGTGGAGGTGGACTTTGAGGTCTTAAAAGCTCAAGTTTGGCCAGTGTGGCACACAGTCTCCTTCTGATACCTGCGCATCAAGATGTAGAACCCTCAGCTCCTTCTCCAGCATGGTGTCTGCCTGCGTGCTGCTATGATGATAATGGACTAAACCTCTGAAACTATAAGCCAGCCGCAGTTAAATGTTTTCCTCCATAATAGTTGCTGTGGTCTTCTTCCCATGTGGGTTTCAGGGTAGGCAACAGTGCTTTAACCCACTGAGCGTCTTTCTGCCTGCCCTCACCCTGAGAATTTTGACTGAGCTCAAAGCTTGCTTGAGTTTGATTTGGGGGATGAGTCATAAAATCATTTCAGAATGCTAAGGGTCCGTCCTATTGCAGTAGAAAATGAAGCAATCCAGTCAGCAGACTCAATATAGCCCTAGCTTTGCCCAGGAAACCCTGTAAAATGGGACTCTTGCTTGTGGAAAGTGGGGTGGTGATAATTACTCCTGATAGATGAGTCTTCCCCAGGGAAACAGATGTGACCTGAATACCTTGAGCAGACTTATGAGTGGCTGCAGCGGACATTGGATCCCAGTTATAGCTTTCTTTTAGTGGCCAATCAGGACCAGAGAATCTGGCTCACAAAGGCTGTCAGGGAATTTATTTTGCTACTAAATGCCTGGGTAACCCAGTGCTGGTCCTTGCTCTGTGGGTGTGCTAATATAATTGTTCAAGTACTTTGTTAAAAGAAAAAACCTCTCCCTGTTTCCATTAACTCCCTGCATGGGGCAGTTCCAGCCCACTGATCCAGGTACCATTTACAGTTCAATTTCACAGTGGTGACGGACTGAAATACCTACCCCTCTCCGTGAGCCGCATGCATTCACAAACAGCCGGCATTCATCACAGGTCCTCTCTTGCTAATTATCTTCCTTTTGGGTCTCCTCCTCTTCAACTGAGAGCACCATAACTTTGAATTTCAAATGTCCCAATGTGCTTTCATCCACAGTGGAGACAGATGAGTTAATATCTTAGGAAATCAGCGGAACCACTGAAGCTCCTAAGAGTCCCTGCCCCCAGTGCCGACATCACAAAGAATAGCACAGTAGTACATAAATCTATGACTTGCATAACTTTACCTAATCACATTGGAATTCTCTTTGAACTTGACCCCAGGGGATAGAGATTATAGAACTGGCTGGCAGATAAAAACTAATCCACTGGAAAAGACTTGAGTGTCATGAGAGCATCAGGAATGAAACAGAGTGGGAAGTTTGTGAGAAGCAACCCATCTGTGTAACTTGAAAATGATTTAGCAGTCTTACCTGTGGCTAGGCATGCCTTGGAATTTAGGCCAGGGGCTGCAAGCTGGTGGTAAGGATAGGATTTTTCTTTTCTCTCCTTGTCCTCTTTTATCTCCTCTTCTTCTTCCTCCTTTGAAATGGAGTCTCACACAGTAGAGGATGGCCTTGCGCTCATTGTGAAGTTGAGAAGAACTTTGAAATTCTGATTCTCCTGCCTCTGTCCCAGGTGCTGGGATTACAGGTGTGCACTCCTATGCTCACACCTCCAGGGTGTGCGGTACTGGAGATGGAACTAGGGCTTTATGAGTGTAGATGAATACTCTGCCCCCTGAGCCCCTGTTCAGCCCAAGGGTAGAATTTCTTTGCTGGTTTTCCCCTGTAACCAGCTTGGTGAATACTCCAACTATTATCATAGAGCCTTCATCCAGTAACTGATGGAACAACCAAGCACCAGGCCGAGCTCCAGGAGTCCAATCAAAGAGAGGGAGGAAGGAATATAAGAGCAAGGAAGGTCAAGGTCATGATGGAGAAATCTCCAGAGACAGCTGAACCAAGCTTGGGGAAATGCATGAACTCTAGACTGACAGCTGTGGAGCCTCCATGGTACCTAACTAGGCCCTCATATGTGGGAGACAGTGGCGAAGCTTGGACTATCTGAGGTACCCCTGGCAGTAGGACCAGGATCTATCCCTGGTGCATGAGCTAGCTTGTTGGAGCCCATTCTCTTTGGTGGGATGCCATGCTCAGCCTTAATGCAGGAGTGAGGGGCTTGGTCCTGCCCCAACTTAATGTCCCTCCATGGGAGCCTTTACCCATTGGGAGGAGGGGGTGGGAGGGTGGCTGGGGGTGGAGAGGAGAGAGGGACTGGAAGAGGGGTGGGAGGGAGAACTGAAGTTGGAATGTAAAATGAAATTTAAAAGAAAAGAAATTAAAAAAAGAAAAAAGAAAGAAAAGACAAATCAATTCTTGCTTTTCAATTCCCATAGGGTTGTCAATGATCTCTGGGAAGAGAGGCTTGTTAAGGCAGGTGAGGGAGTGGATAGTGGTGACTCTATCTTGGGTCCTAGGAACTAGTGCCAATCTGGGAATCAGAGGTCAGTGCAAAGGCAAGGAAGGGCAGAGTGATTTGTGGGGTCCAGACCCTTGGTTCTTGGCTTTTTGTGGATGGATTAATATAGGGTTCAGTTTGTCGTGGCCTGTGGGGCAAATTTAGGCTGAGCTGAGAATAACTGTATGGTTATGAAATGTTTGTAAGCTGGATATTGTGGTGTGTGCTCATAATCTTAGCACTTGGGAGGCTAAGAGAATTGTGAGTTTGAGTCTAATCTGGGCCACATGGTGATAACTTGTCTCTAAATAAACAAACAACATTGAACGAAATAAAGAATATTGTGTGACACCTAAACTTTCTGAATGTCGATTTTCAGTGCGCTTGCTTGTTCAGTGTTGAGGCTGCTCTGAGCAGCCTCAGAGACTGTGAATCACAAAGGTAAACTGCTTGTTCTCTGAGTTTTGAGGACACAAAAACACACCTCTGGCCTCAGAGGAAATGACAGTTTATTCTAGAGTCAAATAAATACAGGTGACCATGGCTGAGGAAGACAGATTTAGGTTTCCCCAATTCCAAGCTCCACGTGCTAACAGTTTCACAAAACTTTTACAGTTACAAAACAAAGAATCGTAAATCAAGGCACTTTTATGTTGGTAGGAACATTGCAAAGCAAGAAATCTCTACTATAGGCTTTCGATGCTGTCTGATGACACTCTTAGACTTTGAGTGGTAAAATCAAGGTATCTGTACATTTCTAAAAGGTTTGCTCAGGAGTCATAGGATGCTAAGTGACCTTTATAGTACACTGTCCTCTGGGCGTAAGGAGCCATTACCATCCTCATCAGATTAGCTGTGACTACTTGCAAAAGACTCTCAAGATTGTGCCTGCTGGTGTTCCCTCCTGGGAGGAAGGGATGGTAAGGGTCATTGGCCATCACCCGGGAGCCTCTCTTCTGTCCACCTCCTTTCCAGTTATATGTGATTCTGCCCACGCCCGTGGTCTTGGGAGGTGACAGAGTATATAGAATGTGCAAGGTTTACAAAGAGGGGGTACGGATTCTGCTCTGCAACTAGGAGGAGGCTGTCATCCATGTGGGGTAAGACTTTTCAGTGGTGTAGTTGCTTTGAGGTTGTCTGTGTTCCTATAAGTAACCTTTACTGATTCTCTGCAAGTAAACGCAGTAAACTTATGGTTTGTCAAGATGGACTTGGGTAGAATCATTCTTTGGTCTGTTGTTGCTGCCCTGTCTGGGGTGAGTAGGGTTCATATCGCCTTAGGGAAAATATGCATAGCAGTCACACAGAGGCAAGCGATGAGAAATGATCTAGAGGGCCAGCGACAGCTCAAGATAATTTGGCTCTTAACCTGCAGCATTCCAGCTCTCCACAATGATGGAAGTTCCAGTTACTTAACCAGGTTTTCAGACTGTTTAATACAGATGTGGCCATTTTGTAATCTTTGTATGCATGTGTGCCTATGCACGCATTTGCGTGTATTAATGTGAGTGTGTATGTGCCATGTGGAGGTCAGAGGACAGTTTCAGGTGTCCTTTGATTGAGTAAGGGGTACTTATATCAGATCTATTGGCCTGCAATCTTCTGGAAATTCTTCCGTCTTTGCCTCCCATTTCTTTGTATGAGTACTGAGATTACAGACATATACTACAGTGTACAAGTTTATGTGGGTTCTCAGGATTTGAACCAAAATTCTTACACTTGCATGATAAGCATTTTACCCATTGAGCTGTGTCCTTAGACCAGGTGTTTTTTGTTTGTTTGTTTGTTTTATTTTTCTGGAAACTTATTTCATACCTTTTACATAAAAGTTTGTTGACCTGTAGAGTAGAGTCATTTAGAAGCATAGTTTGATGAAATTTGGCCTCTGGATGGAATTTGAACTGAGTAAAATAAGCCATGACCTATCTGATCTCTGTTAGGGACAATTCCCTACAGACAAAATAGACATTATCAACCAGACTCATTTTATTTAGCTATTTTTCCCCATTCTCTTTAAATTTTATTTATTTTGGTTTTTACTTTCCCTTTTTATAGAAAATAGATTTCTTTTTTTTTTTTTGGAGGTGAAACAATTTTATTTCACAGTTGTCTTTAAAACTGCAAAGACACTATTTTCTTCATATAAAAACATTGGGATAGATACCTATACTTTCTAGAAAATGATTATGTAGACCCTTTCAAAGAAAATGCACCCATTATATGGTTTCTGTGAAGCTGCTCGGAGAAAACTCACATCTGGACTGATTCCTAAAACCTCCCACCCCATGCTCTGCAGATGTTGGTTTTGAGCGCAGATTACTG